CCCTCCAGCAAGGAAGAAGAGACGGGGGGCCGATCCAAAGCTGCTTTATTTGCCACGTTGGGATGGGTCGAGCGCAGATGTGGGGGCCAAGCCGGCCCCAGAACAGTCACAAATACAGCACAGGCAATAATAATAATAATAATAATAAAAAATTAAACATCTCCCAGGGGCTGATGGCCCCGTGCAACAAAAATATATATATAATATATGGAGAGAGAACAGAGTCAACGCTGGCTAAGCTTGGTCACGAGAGAGGGACGGCGCAGGGTTGAGGACGCCGGAGCCACCGGCAGGACCCGTGCAGGGAGCGTGGACAGGGCAGAGCTGTTCACAGTTGGGTGGGGGACAAGCAGGATGGGAGCCCACCCAACGTTGTGGGTGCTGGAGAGGTCACCCAGAGGACCAGCATCAGCAGTGGGGCTGGGACACCCAAGGGGACATGGAGCATGGACACCATGGGGGGGGTTGGAGACAGCACATGACCCCCTCCCCCCCAGAGTGACAGAGATTTGGCAGGGGCACCTCCAGGGTGATGGAGATGCTGCGAGGACCCCATGGAATGGTGCAGCTGTGGCACAGACACCTCTAAGGTGACAAAGGTGCCACAGAGACTCTCCAAGGAAGACGGAGGTGCGGCATGGACACCTCTAGGGTGAAGGAAATGCCACATGGACACTCCCTGGGGTGATGGAGATGACACAGACATCTCCAGTGTAACAGAAATGACACAGGGACCTTCCAAGGTGAGGGAGGTACAGCATGGACATCTCCAAAGTGATGGAGATGGCACAGGAACCCCCCCTGCACGACAGAGATCAGGCACAGACACCTCTAAGGTGTCATAGATGCCACAGGGACCTTCTCAGGGAGATTAAGATCAGGCATGGACATCTCCAAAGGGATGGAGATGCTGCATGAATCCCCACGGGATGATGGGGATCAGGGACGGACACCTCTAAGGTGATGGAGACACCACAGGGACATTCCCAGGGTGGTGGAAATCAGGCATGGACATCTCCAAAGGGATGGAGATGCTGCATGAATCCCCACGGGATGATGGGGATCAGGGACGGACACCTCTAAGGTGATGGAGACACCACAGGGACATTCCCAGGGTGGTGGAAATCAGGCATGGACATCTCCAAAGGGATGGAGATGCTGCATGAATCCCCACGGGATGATGGGGATCAGGGACGGACACCTCTAAGGTGATGGAGACACCACAGGGACATTCCCAGGGTGGTGGAAATCAGGCATGGACATCTCCAAAGGGATGGAGATGCTGCATGAATCCCCACGGGATGATGGGGATCAGGGACGGACACCTCTAAGGTGATGGAGACACCACAGGGACATTCCCAGGGTGGTGGAAATCAGGCATGGACATCTCCAAAGGGATGGAGATGCTGCGTAGAGCCCCACGGGATGGTGTGGATTGGGCACAGACACCTCTAAGGTGATGGAGACACCACAGGAACCTTCCCCGGGTGGTGGAAATTGGGCAGGAACATCTCCAAAGGGATGGAGATGCTGCATGAACTCCCATGAGGTGATGGGGACTGGGGACAGACACCTCTAAAGCGGCCAGGATGCCGCAGCAACAACGGAGACACATCTCAGGCATCTCCAACACGCCAGCCCCATCGCCGACACCCCACATCCAGGCACCAAAGCTGGTGGTGCCGAAACACCCCAACCCCTGGGCCAACTGATCAAAAAAAGGGGGGGGGGAAGCCAAAAACCACGAAAAAAACACCACCCGGGGAGGGAGGAGGTGCCCATTTTGGGGGGAAACCCCCGTTCACAACGCGAGGAGCGAGGGAGAATTCAAGGAGTCCGAGGACTGGTCGCTGCTGCTGCTCCGCTGATGCGAGGCTCCGCAGGTGGCTCCCTCTGGGTGGGTGAACACAAACGAAGACGTATAGGATGGGTTAGGCGGCCCCGAGGGGACCCCGGGCGCGAAGCAGCAGCTGGGGAAGGGGCCCTGGGTGCTCGGCTGGAACGGACCCGGGGGTAGGAAGGCGACGGTCCCCGCCGGCTCTTCCTTGCCCAGGGTGCTCACCTCGGCGGGGCCGGCACCCAAGGAGCCGACATCCTCGAAGGGGAGCTTGCAGGCGGGGGCGTGGGCCACCAGGACAAACTCCAGCCGCTCCTTCTCCTTCTGCAGCTCGGCAATCTCCGACTCCAGCTCAGCTTTCTCCTCCTCCAGCTGGTCTGTCTCCTGGGGCGGCATGGGGTGGAGTGAGATGGGCTGCGGGGGACACCACTGTGTGTCCCCCTCCCCAGCCCTGGGGACATCACCTTCCTGTGGCCTCCAGGATGGGGTCATCGTCCCTCCAGCATCCCTGAGTATCTATCTGTCCCCGTCTGATGTCCCCTGCTCCTGGGGATTGCGTTGTCCCCCTCGGACATCCCTGGGCATCAATCTGTCCCCTCTGATGTTCCCAGGAGCTGGGACATCACTGTCCCCTCTGGACATTGACCCTGCTGTTCCCAGCTGGCAGGAGCTGTCCCCTTCTCTGACGGCCCCCTCCAAAAACCTTGGGCATCAGTCTGTCCCCTCCGATGTCCCTGACTCCTGGGAACAGCCTTGGTCCTCTGCAATATCATCATCCCCAGGGACCAGACTGCTCCCCTCCGCTGTCCCCAGCTCCTGGGGACATTGTCACCTCCCTCCAAATGTCCCCAGCTCCCTGAGATCTGCACCCATGGTCAAAGTGACCTGTCACCCTCTAATGTCCCCAGCTCCCAGGGACATCATTGTCCTCTTCTAGTGTCCCTTGGTCCTGGGGACACTGTTGTCCCCATCCAACATCTCCAGTTCCCCAGGATGTGCACTCATCAGCATCTGTCCCCTCCAACACAGCCAGGTCCTGGGAACGTCATCCCCTCCAGTGTCCCTCAGTTCTGGGGACACCACTGACTCCATCTAGTGTCCTCAGCTCCCCAGAATCAGGCATCGGTCAGTCCTCCTGTGACGTCCCCAGCTCTGAGAGCATCATCATCATCCCCTTCCAGTGTCACTTGGTCCTGGGGACACCACTGTTCCCATCTAACGACACCAGCTCCCTAGAATCTGCATGCATGGGCATTGGCCTGTTCAAGTCCTGGGGACACCAGGGTCCCCACCTAGTGTCCCCACTTGCTCCCAGCAGCATTGACCTCTCCGCTCACCTTCCAACAAGCCCAAGCCAACCATCCCCTTCCATTGTCACCATGGCCCAGGGACACCGTCATCCCCAAACATCCTTGGGGACCTGCCCCCATGGACGTCAACCCAACCCCCAGTGATGTCCCCAGCTGTTGGGGACATTGCCATCCCTCCAC